GTATTACATGGATGGGAAAAGCCGTTTCTGATTGACGACATTTCGTTTTTGCGCGCATCCTGTGAAGGACGAACCCTCTTCCTGTAGATCGAGGGTACTTTCAAAATGACTCTTTTCCCTCTTCATGGCATTCTCCCGACCTGTTGTGGGGGGAGGAGGGGGGTCTGTGATTGTTATACCTCTGGAACCACGTTGTGTTTGCAATGTCAATCATATTTGTCTCACCTGATGACGATTTCTTGTGTTGCGATCGAAACGTCGTGATCTATGACACTGGTCAACAACAAAAAAACATGTTTTTTTCTGGCCTGGACTTTTGCAGCTGTTCTAGACTAATTTCAGGGTGCTGATTCCAAATCTGATCTCAGATTTGCTCTATCACATCTCATTTTTATGCTATCGGCATACCCCATATTCATTGATTTTACCAGAAATTAACTCTGTCACTTATGATTGCAAGTTGTTGCGAGTCAGTGACTGCTTTAGTGTTAAAATATGGTGCTGTATTTTTAGGATAGTGTGTTTATAATATCATTTTATGTAGATATCCACATTTATTTAATATTTTTCTTCTGCAGTTTTTATTGAAAATGCAATATTTGATATCTCAAAAACCTGATGTGATAGACAAAAACTGATGCCAGATTTGGAATCAGCACCCAAAATTACCTTAGAACCGTTGGAATACCTTATGCCAGAAAAAGTGTGTTGACCAGTGTTATTTTGTCTACCTACGTGACTTTACCGAAAGAGCCACAGAATATGGAAATGTGTATCATTAACTTCTTTCGCACCGTACACAGCCAACCGTGCTAATCGGAATGTTGCTGCCTTGGTAAATGTTATATTCGTTTTGCAGTTTCACTCTAGAAGCCAGCACAGTCCATCATCATCACCATCATCATTCCCTGTGAGGTTGAATAATTCAATTACTAACATTTGTAAGACCGCTCTTTCATAGTCTTGACCTGGTTCTCAGATTGCAAATTGACATTTTCACTTCCTCGGGCAGAAAAAAAACTCCCTCCGTCCCTATTAAAGCTGCCAAAATCCTATCAATGAAGACTGCCGGCGTGAGGACCTTTAGCCCCCTGAGTCTTGGCCTCTCGTTACTGGTCCGATTCCTACAAATTTCACAGAAGGCTTTTGTTTTTAGATTCTCCTTCTCATCGATGAGGCCCTCACTAATAGTCAACCCGGGTCACCTCACCCATTTACTGACTCCCCCCCCCCTCCCCCCGTACTCGCGGCAATCCCCGAAGCCTTCGTCCTGAGCTGAGGGCCCGATTTAGGCCTCAGCTAGCACAGATTCTAGGCAACTCACATGACGAGTTTTAGAGAATTGAATGGGGGTCACGAGACATCTGTACCGCCCTACACAATGCTTGCGTAGTTTCTCCTCTGCTAGGCCCCAGTTGTGTATTTCCGTGATAGAAACACGCGACGCCTCGACCACCTTGCACAAAGGCTCCTTGTAAATGACACCTATTATCACCACCCTTCTAAGGGTAGCTAAATAAAGTACGAACGTCTCTCGCTGCGGTCAACAATACTTCAACAATCATAATAATACTTTCATGGTATATGCCTCCCAGTTGCCTGGGTGAAAAGTGGGCCAGGTTTTGCCCAATCCTTGTCAGCTGGCTCAACAAACTCAATCAATAAAGTGAATAAACGCTGACGGTATGCAGGGCCGGATTTAGACCTAAGCTCAGTAAGCTACAGAGCAGCGTCTCATATTACAGGGGGGGGGGGGGGGCAGGGGGGGAATCTAAATACGCAAAAAATAATACGAAGTTTCAAGTTTAACATACAAGTAGAACCCCTCTTAACGACTCATCGCTTGACGACGAGCCTCCGTAGAGCCCAATGTGTTCGCTTAGCGATCATCCCCCTGTTCAGCACGGGCTGTTGTAGGCACAGTAAATATGAATTAATGCATTGATCAACCACGTTTCTTTTCATATTGTTTATCATTTTGTTAATATCTATATTTAATATTGTTTATCATTTTGTTAATATCTATATTTAATATTGTTTATCATTTTGTTAATATCTATATTTAATATTGTTTATCATTTTGTTAATATCTATATTTTATATTGTTTATCATTTTGTTAATATCTATATTTAATATTGTTTATCATTTTGTTAATATCTATATTTAATATTGTGTATCATTTTGTTAATATCTATATTTAATATTGTTTATCATTTTGTTCATATCTATAAGTATTAATATCCATTGTAGAAATATTATAAAGTTGTTTTTTTAGTCAAAGAGGGTACCACCTTTCGATGCAATCGGAACGAATTAAGCCTTTAACGTGCATTTCCTATTCTCGCGTAACGACCAAACCACCTAATGACCAGTTTCGTGGAACCGATCACCGTCGTTACGAGGGGTTCTACTGTTATATTTGAGAAACGTTGAACTTCTTTTGCACCTATTCTTAGGTTTTTTCGGTAAAGTCACGTAAGTAAAAAATTTAAATTAAGAAAAGTAAAATAAAAATAACGACGTTTCGGAGGCAACACAAGCTTCCATCTTCAGGTGGAACCGTCACAGCCCGACAGCTGTATCATTACTTGATATTTACTTGATAGAGCTGTCGGGCTGTGACGGTTCCACCTGAAGACGGAAGCTTGTGTTGCCTCCGAAACGTCGTGATTTTTATTTTACTTTTAATAATTTTAATTTTTTACCTACGTGACTTTACCGAAAAAAACCTAAGAATATGAATCCTTGCAGTCACGAAAGCTTCAAATCTAGAATTATTTCGCCCCGTACGCAGCCCACCGTGCTAATGGGAGGTGCGGGATGGGGCCCTCTACAGCTCAACACGACTTCGGGGCCTCAGCAATGTCCAAGTCCCTGGCCAGCGGCAAGTGCGAGTGACTCTCATCCGGTTTCCGCTCCCAAGACTCGGCTCCTACAAATGCCTTCCTCAGTTCGTCCTCCCCCTTGGCCGGTGAGCGAAGTATTTTGTGATGTGCAGGCATAACGCGGCTTACGCCCAGGACGGCGTTCCTGAAAGAGCACTTGAATTGAGGTGAAGAGATGGATGATCATAACGTGGTGCAGAACCTACTGCTACTACTACTAGCAGGTACTACTAATAGAGATGGGATAGTGGATGGTAACGTGATGCAGTACCTACTACTGCTCGTAGTAGTTGCAGGTACTACTACTAGAGATGGGATAGTGGATGGTAACGTGGTACAGTACCTACTGCTACTAGTAGTTGCAGGAACTACTAATAGAGATGGGATAGTGGATGGTAACGTGGTATAGAACCTACTGCTACTACTGCTACTACTGCTACTAGTAGTAGTAGTTGCAGGTACTACTACTAGAGATGGGATAGTGGATGGTAACGTGGTACAGAACTTAGGCAGACCATGCCCAATAACCCATGGTGCATCTCTACTGTACAGCCATCGGTGTGAAAATTTAAGTGTATATTAGTCATATATTAACATACATCACCTTGTCTATTATACTATATGGATTACTATTAGTTGTTTATCATATTAACAAGTAGTTTACACTTGTTTGAAGGTAGTAGGCATAGATACGCTATGTGGGAGTAGGTCAGGGGTGGGGAACGTCCGGCCCGTGGGCCGTATGAGGCCCGCGAAATCATTTGGGTCTGGCCCTGCCAAGACAACTGCAGGCGGGACACGAAATTCAATAAATCTCGGAGCAAACCTGGAAAAGCAGTTGCGAGTAGCAGCAACATCATCAACACCGGCTAACATCACACAGCCTCGCCAAAGAGAAGCGGTTCCAGCCATCGTATTAGGGGCGAGTTAATGAAATGTTTGACCAAGTATATATGATGTTATAAATATCCAAATGGCCCTTGGCAGAAGAAAAAGTGTCCACATGAAAGAGACTGTCGCCAATCCGTCAAGCCGACCACTTGGGCCGCCATTTTGCGCCTGAATGTTCGCGGTGCGGTGTAACAATAATTACAATTCACCCTGAAACAATCGTAAATAACGGAGTGTTTCGATGGTAAAGTTCGCAACTCTCTAAGACGTGACTGCGAGGCACGCACAACGTGAAACGGGATTGGGTATCATCAGCAAGTTGAGTATGTCAAGAGCGAAAAAACGCAGCAGCGGGAGAGAGTAAATCGGGATGCTACTGCCGTCCATAAATGACGTCACGCGATTTTGGACGAATTTTGACCCCCCCCCCCCCCCCCGGCTCGTCACACGGCGTCACAAAAAGTCAGACCCCCCCCCTCAAATATGACGTCACAAAGCTCTGCCCCCCCCCCCAAAAAAATATATAAAACGTGCTTCAAATCGCTGTAAACTATTGTGATTGTAGTGCGTATTTAACGTGGCGCTGCACTCTGACGTTGTAGGAGAAAACATTTATGAAAAAGTCTAATTAATTAAGTAGAACGTGTTGTCTACATTTATTTAAAGTTGCTTATTTTGATGCGACGTCACATTTCCCAAACCCCCCCCTCCCCCATCGTCACAAATGTCTGACACCCCCCCACCCCCCAAGGTGCGTGACGTCATTTATGGACGGCCCCTTCATTTTAAAAAATCCGCGGTTCTGATGGCTGGCGCTCAGGCTCAGGCAAAACAAGATGTGTGCAAGGCTCGTGTGGCGGTGGTGGTGGTCACAGACTGCAGGATTCAGGGTTCTGCGCGTCAAACGAGCCTCGGCACGACACTCGACCAGAACGCTGTTCGATCACCAAGTGCACAACCTCGTCGGGTTCTGAAATGTTCAAATCAGCGCTCGACGCTACGTGCAGCGTCGCATCGACTAGGCTCCATTATCGCAACTCGCTACTCTACGGGACGTCTGGCAAACGCACGACCAGGCTGCGGCGTGGATGACAAATCTTTGGCACGTGTCGTGACGGCGACTGCAAGGCCCGACCGCTGTTGGCCTCCTGCCGCCGAACGAAAACATCGCGAGGTCGTGCCCGTTACACTCTAAGCGCTCGCTACAAAGGAACCGTTGATACCTTGCTAATCTCGTCGGCGCGGCACACGAGGGGGTGGGTGGCCAGCTCCACGCCCGGTCGTCTTCGGTCTCCCTAGTGGCGACCGAGTCGACCTAGGGGAGGAACAGGCGCAGTGCTCTGCCACAAATTAATCACAATACCCTGTTGATCTCGAGGAGCACAGACCATCACGCTAACCATCTAACGCTAACCATCTAACGCTAACCATCTAACGCTGACCATCTAACGCTGACCATCTAACGCTAACCATCTAACGCTAACCATCTATTGCTGACCATCTAACGCTAACCATCTAACGCTAACCATCTAACGCTAACCATCTAACGCTAACCATCTAACGCTGACCATCTAACGCTAACCATCTAACCATCTAACGCTAACCATCTAACCACCTAACGCTGACCATCTAACCATCTAACGCTAACCATCTAACGCTAACCATCTAACGCTAACCATCTAACGCTAACCATCTAACCACCTAACGCTGACCATCTAACGCTGACCATCTAACAAAGACGATCAACGCATCGCGCGCTTTTAGACGCGCCTCTGCGGCCGTCTGGAACGCTCTCTTCCTTCTGCAATTTGTTGAAGCGATTTGTGTAAAGTTTTTTTGTCCTTCACCCCAAACCTCCAAATAACGCGTTTGGCTACGTACGGTGCGAAACAAGTTCAGCATACACACAAACATGCTCACGAAACCTTGCCTGCCTTACACAAGGGCGCTGCGTAAATGAACGCTAAGCTTCTCCCATTCAGAAATAAATTGAAGACCTTCTTAATTCCTAAGATATGTTAAATAAACTCGAGGCGTGTTTTGTTTTTCTGCACGACGCTCTGACGTCTGCTGCGTATTTGGAGGTTTTTCCCTCCACGTTTAGAATGGACATCACACATTTAGATCAGATTACTTGGCTGCTAGAAATTTCCACAAGATAAGCCATTTCGCTGGGCTATCATCTGTGGCCAGGTCGTTTGGTTTTAGTTGATTTAGAGAGATTTGCTTACCTTTCCTAGACGTTTCACTCCTATCGTGGACATCTGTGAAAAAGCAGCTTCATAGCTCATCGGATTTCTCCACGGTAAAATAAAGATGCCGATCCTGGGTTTGCTGCAAACCCTTACAAAAGTAGAATATGCATTAGCACCACCCCTTCCAAGGGGTCGATACAATAAGTACTAACTTGTGTACACACTGTCAACAACACTTCATTACTAATAACACTCTCGTGGTACATGCTGGTGGGTACAGGTGATGGAAGGCTGCAATTGCCCGCTGCCACTGCTGCTAGCGGCGGTAGGGCCTCCACTAGACTAGCGATACAGCCAACCATCGGCTACTAACCTGCTAAGGTTATGTGACAACGCCGTCACGGTTTCACCAGCTCCAGTGAACCCCACTAGAAACTTGGCCTACTCTTTCACGCTGGCCAGACACAGCTTTGAAGAGGCTCAGCTACCCATGAGTCAACCCACGCGGCCTGTAACGGACTGTCTGGGGCTGCTGGCACTGTGGCACACTGACACGGTGGGTGGCCAGCACCAGGGACGGCCGCCTTTGTCTCCCTCGTGGCGACGTTCACTTCACACAGCACCAGGTACTCATTTGAGGCTGTGTCCACCTAGGGGAGGCCCGGGACCGGTTCAGATAATCGCCGGTGTTGGTGGTGGCCGTAGGAGGGCAGTGGAACTCGGGTCTCTACCGACTCCGTAGCGCAGCGTGGCGCTAACCGTCGCCCCAAAGACAAAGATCCCCCGTGCAGCCTGTAACAGACTGTGGGGCAAGTGCTGTTAGCAGCGAGTAGCGGCACCTGTGAAGGCCGGCACGGCGCACGAGGGGGTGGGTGGCCAACACCACGCCCGGTCGCCTTTGTCTCCCCAGTGGCGACGTTGACTACACACCGCTACACCAGGTACGCATTTGAGGCCGAGTCGACCTAGGGGAGGCCCAGGACCGTGCCCCGTTGTTCCAGCTGCTCTGTCGTTATTCATCTTGACCGTCTCTGGGTCTCTCTGTAGTGAGTCTATGGATTTCTGTGTGGAGAATGTGGGTCTCTGTGTGGTGAGTCTTTGGATCTCTGTATCATGAGTCTGTGAGTCTCTGTGTGACGAGTCTGTGGGTGTCTGTGCGATGAGTCCATGGGTCTCTGTGTGGTGTGTCTGTGGGTCTCTGTGTGATGAGTTTATGGGTCTCTGTGTGAGTCTGTGGGTCTCTGTGTGGTGAGTCTGTGGGTCTCTGTGTGATGAGTCCGTGGGTCTCTGTGTGGTGAGTCTATGGGTCTCTGTGTGAGTCTGTGGGTCTCTGTGTGATGAGTCTATAGGTCTGTGTGACGAGTCTGTGGGTGTCTGTGTGGTGAGTCTGTGGGTCTCTGTGTGATTGGTTTATGGGTCTCTGTGTGATGAGTTTATGGGTCTCTGTGTGACGAGTCTGTGGGTCTCTGTGCGATGAGTCTGTGGGTCTCTGTGTGGTGAGTCTGTGGGTCTCTGTGTGATGAGTTTATGGGTCTCTGTGTGAGTCTGTGGGTCTCTGTGTGGTGAGTCTGTGGGTCTCTGTGTGATGAGTTTATGGGTCTCTGTAATCCACATGTTCCTCTCTCTGCCCCTCAGTGTAATCTTCATCAACATGTCTCTATACTGCTGGATGGAGACCAGTGATGAGGATGGTTGATGACAATGTCTGTACCCTCTGTGTGTTCTCTAAAACCCATGTTCCCATTTCTGTCTTTCAGTGTAATTTCAAGCATCTCAAAGCTTATTTGAGCACTTGTCAGGCAGTGTCTGTGTGTGTGTCTGTCTGTGTGTCTATGTGTGTGTGTCTGTGTCTCTAAACACTGTGACTAGGTATCCACAGGTGGACACGGGGACACAGGCAGACAGGGGGATACGGGGACAGTCTCCTGCCTCCGTCTGTGTCCGTGATTCTTCCGAGTCCGGGACATGATTTGCTCGAGACGCTGAGACACGGGGAGAAGGGAGACACGGGGAGGAGGGAGACACGGGGAGGGGGGAGATGCGGGGAGGAGGAGGAGGGAGACACGGGGAGGAGGAGGAGGGAGACACGGGGAGAAGGGAGACACGGGGAGGAGGGAGACACGGGGAGAAGGGAGACACGGGGAGAAGGGAGACACGGGGAGGAGGGAGACACGGGGAGGAGGGAGACACGAGGCGGAGGGAGACACGAGGAGGAGGGAGACACAGGGAGGGGGGAGACACGGGGAGGAGGGGGGAGACACGGGGAGGAGGGAGACACGAGGAGGAGGGAGACACGGGGAGGGGGGAGACACGAGGAGGAGGGAGACACGAGTAGGAGGGAGACACGGGGAGGGGGAGGGAGACACGGGGAGGGGGGAGACACGGGGAGGAGGGGGGAGACACGGGGAGGAGGGAGACACGAGGAGGAGGGAGACACGGGGAGGAGGGAGACACGGGGAGGAGGGAGACACGGGGAGGGGGGAGACACGAGGAGGAGGGAGACACGGGGAGGGGGAGGGAGACACGGGGAGGAGGGAGACACGAGGAGGGAGAGGGAGACACGAGGAGGAGGGAGACACGGGGAGGGGGAGGGAGACACGGGGAGGGGGAGGGAGACACGGGGAGGGGGAGGGAGACACGGGGAGGAGGGAGACACGGGGAGGAGGGAGACACGAGGAGGAGGGAGACACGGGGAGGGGGGAGACACGGGGAGGAGGGAGACACGAGGAGGAGGGAGACACGGGGGGGGGGGGAGACACGGGGAGGAGGGGGGAGACACGGGGTGGAGGGAGACACGAGGAGGAGGGAGACACGGGGAGGGGGGAGACACGAGGAGGAGGGAGACACGAGGAGGAGGGAGACACGGGGAGGGGGGAGACACGGGGAGGAGGGGGGAGACACGGGGAGGAGGGAGACACGAGGAGGAGGGAGACACGGGGAGGGGGGAGACACGGGGAGGAGGGGGGAGACACGGGGAGGAGGGGGGAGACACGGGGAGGAGGGAGACACGAGGAGGAGGGAGACACGGGGAGGGGGGAGACACGGGGAGGAGGGGGGAGACACGGGGAGGAGGGGGGAGACACGGGGAGGAGGGAGACACGAGGCGGAGGGAGACACGAGGAGGAGGGAGACACGGGGAGGAGGGAGACACAGGGAGGAGGAAGACACAGACACATATTAGTCACTCAGCTCTCTAGACCTTCCAGAACATCATTAGAATTAAAATGTGTGAACATTGCACTGCGTACACATGCATCCCCACGTCCACGTGTGTGTCCCCGTGTCTGTGTGTCTGTGTCCCCGTGTCTGTGTCCCTGTGTCTCCGTGTCCCCGTGTGTGTGTGTATGTGTGTCCGTGTCCCCGTGTCTCTGTGTCTCTGTGTCTGTGTGTCTGTGTGTCTGAGTGTGTGTCTGTGTGTGTGTCTGTGTGTCCCCGTGTCCGTGTGTCCCCGTGTCCGTGTGTCCGTGTGTCCCCGTGTCCGTGTGTCTGTGTGTGTGTCTGTGTGTGTGTCTGTGTGTCCCCGTGTCCGTGTGTCCGTGTGTCCGTGTCTGTGTGTCTGTGTGTGTGTGTCTGTGTGTGTGTCTGTGTGTCCCCGTGTCCGTGTGTCCGTGTGTCTGTGTGTCCCCGTGTCCGTGTGTCTCCATGTCCTCGTGTCCCCGTGTCCGTGTGTCCCCGTGTCCCCGTGTTTGTGTGTCTGTGTGTCCCCGTTTCTGTGTGTCTGTGTGTCTGTGTGTATGTGTGTCTGTGTGTCTGTGTGTCTGTGTGTCCCCGTGTCTGCGTGTCTGCGTGTCTGTGTGTCGCCGTGTCTCCGTGTCCCCGTGTCCCCGTGTCTCCGTGTCCCCGTGTTTGTGTGTCTCCGTGTCCCCGTGTCTGTGTGTCCCCGTGTCTCCGTGTCCCCGTGTCTGTGTATCCCCGTGTCTCCGTGTCCCCGTGTCTCCGTGTCCCCGTGTCTGTGTGTCCCCGTGTCTGTCTGTCTCCGTGTCCCCGTGTCCCCGTGTCTGTGTCCCCGTGTCTCTCCGTGTCCCTGTGTTGTCCCCGTGTCCCCGTGTCTGTGTCCCCGTGTTCCCGTGTCTGTGTGTCCCCGTGTCTGTGTGTCCCCATGTCCCCGTGTCTGTGTCCCCATGTCCCCGTGTCTGTGTCCCCATGTCCCCGTGTCTGTGTCCCCATGTCCCCGTGTCTATGTCCCCGTGTCTCCGTGTTGTCCCCGTGTCTATGTCCCCGTGTCCCCGTGTCTATGTCCCCGTGTCTCCGTGTTGTCCCCGTGTCTGTGTGTCCCCGTGTCTGTCTGTCTCCGTGTCCCCGTGTCCCCGTGTCTGTGTCCCCGTGTCTCTCCGTGTCCCTGTGTTGTCCCCGTGTCCCCGTGTCTGTGTCCCCGTGTTCCCGTGTCTGTGTGTCCCCGTGTCTGTGTGTCCCCATGTCCCCGTGTCTGTGTCCCCATGTCCCCGTGTCTGTGTCCCCATGTCCCCGTGTCTGTGTCCCCATGTCCCCGTGTCTGTGTCCCCATGTCCCCGTGTCTGTGTCCCCATGTCCCCGTGTCTGTGTCCCCATGTCCCCGTGTCTGTGTCCCCATGTCCCCGTGTCTCCGCGTTGTCTCCGTGTCCCCGTGTCTGTGTCCCCATGTCCCCGTGTCTCCGCGTTGTCTCCGTGTCCCCGTGTCTGTGTCCCCATGTCCCCGTGTCTGTGTCCCCATGTCCCCGTGTCTGTGTCCCCATGTCTCCGTGTTGTCCCCGTGTCCCCGTGTCTGTGTCCCCATGTCCCCATGTCCCCGTGTCCCCGTGTCTCCGCGTTGTCTCCGTGTCCTACTACCTGCTTCCTCTCTTTCCTCTCCTGCTCATCTCTTTGTGCCGCTTTCAAGATGGCCGCTCTCCCCGTCTCCACGGCAACCGTCTTGTCCATCTCCATGGCAACCGAATTCTTCGTCTCCAAGGCTACCGATGACTCCATCTCCAGAGCAACCGGCTTCGCCCTCTCCATAGCAACCACCTCTCCATTCTCACCCACAAACCCTTCGCCTGTTTCCATGTCAGCCTGTGAAATGCTCGGGATGCTGTTCTGACCACTGTCGCTAAGGCAGTTGCTAGGGCTGTTGCTAGGGCTGTTGCTAGGGCTGTTGCTAGGGCTGTTGCTAGGGCTGTTGCTAGGGCTGTTGCTAGGGCTGTTGCTAGGGCTGTTGCTAGGGCTGTTGCTAGGGCTGATGGCTATGGGCTTGCTGTTGCCATCACAGCTGTCAGTCTGACTGTCGCCGATGCGGCTGTTCATGTGGTTATTGTTATTGGTGTTGCTGTGGCTATTGTTGCCATGGCTCTTGTTGCCGTGGCTGCTGTTGCCGTGGCTCTTGTTGCCATGGATGCTGTTGTCGTGGCTCTTGTTGCCATGGATGCTGTTGCTGTGGCTCTTGTTGCCATGGCTGCTGTTGTCGTGGCTCTTGTTGCCGTGGCTGCTGTTGCCGTGGCTGCTGTTGCCGTGGCTGCCGTTGTCATGGCTGTCGTTGCCGTGGCTGTAAGCCTCACCGCTGCTGCTGCTTTGGCTGTCGGTGAGGCTGTTGTTGGTCAGACTGTCCTGACTTTGGCCGCCTGTCTGGCCGACGGTCTGGCTGCTGCTGCTGCTGCTGGTGCAACCGTCGCCATGGCGGCGATCCGTCCGACCATCGGGCTGGCCGTGAGTGAGGCTGTCCGTCCGGCTGTCGTCTCGGCTGTCGCTGTGGCTCTCCCCAGTTTCACCCTTTGTCTGACTGTTGCTTTGGCTGTCGCCGTTCGGGCTGTTGGCCTCACAGTTTGCCTGCGTGTCACAATGATTGTTAGTCTGCCTGTCAGCTGGGTGACTGCTCTGACTGTCTGTCTGCGTGTCAGCTGGGTGACTGCTCTGATTGTCTGTCTGCGTGTCAGCTGGGTGACTACTCTGACTGTCTGTCTGTGTGTCAGCTGGGTGACTAGTCTGACTGTCTGTCTGCCTGTCAGCTGGGTGACTGCTCTGACTGTCTGCCTGTGTGTCAGCTGGGTGACTGCTCTGACTGTCTGTCTGTGTGTCAGCTGGGTGACTAGTCTGACTGTCTGTCTGCCTGTCAGCTGGGTGACTGCTCTGACTGTCTGCCTGTGTGTCAGCTGGGTGACTGCTCTGACTGTCTGCATGTGTGTCAGCTGGGTGACTAGTCTGACTGTCTGTCTGCATGTCAGGCCGGCTGTCTGCCTGCGTGTCAGCTGGGTGACTACTCTGACTGTCTGTCTGTGTGTCAGCTGGGTGACTGCTCTGACTGTCTGTCTGCCTGTCAGCTGGGTGACTAGTCTGACTGTCTGTCTGCCTGTCAGCTGGGTGACTACTTTGACTGTCTGCCTGCCTGTCAGCTGGGTGACTACTTTGACTGTCTGTCTGCCTGTCAGCTGGGTGACTGCTCTGACTGTCTGTCTGCCTGTCAGCTGGGTGACTACTTTGACTGTCTGCCTGTGTGTCAACTGGGTGAATGCTCTGACTGTCTGCCTGCTTGTCAGACTGACCGTCAGTCTGCCTGTTGGCATCGCCATCAGCCCGCCCGACAGTCCGACTGTTGCTACGGGCAACGCTGCCGCCCTTGGCCCGCCCCTTTGTTTGCCTGTTGTCGGCAGTCTGACCAGTGTTGTTGTCACGGCTGTTGCTACGGCCTCTACTGGTCTGGCTGTTCCCTTGGCTACCAGGCCGCCTGTTGGTCTCGCCATTGCCAGGCGTCTTTTTTGGCTGTTGCTGTCGACTGTTTCTACGAGTTGTTGTGGTTGTTGCGGTTGTTGCGGTGGTGGTGGTGGTGGCTCTCATGTGACTGTTCTTGTCAGGGGCTCGGTTGTTGCTCCTGGTGGTGGCTGTCGTGGCGGTGGCGGTGGTGGTTCGGTTGTTGCCAGGTGGTGGTAGCCGTGGAAGTTGTGGCCGACGCGACTGTTGTCTGGCTGTCGTTTGGAACCTGGTTGTTGTTGCTGCTGTTGCTGGCGGTGCTGGTGGTTGAAGTGGGACTGTTGTTGCTGGTGGTAGCCGTGGTTGTTGTCGCCATCTGACTGTTGCCGTCTGTCATTGTATTGCTGCTGCTGGTGGTGGTGGTGGCTGTGGTTGTGGTTGTTGTTGTCGTCTGACTGTCCTCGCTTGCAGTTTGGCTGTCGCTAGCGGTGGTAGTTGCAGGGCCGTTGCTATCGGCATCCTCGCTGCTTGCGGTTGCCGTCCGACTGTTCTTCTCCGCGTTGTTGCTCGGGGTGCCGGCGCCTATCGAGGGGGTGGCTGTAGCGGTGTTGTCCGTGGCTCCGTTGCCAACGGTGACGGCGGTGGTTGTTGCGCAGCTGCTGCTACTTTTGCAGCTCTTGCTACTCTGGCTGTTGCTGCGGTCCCGGCTGTTGTTGTTGCTGTTTTGGCTGTTGCCCGGCGGGCTGTACAGAACCTTGGAGACCTGAGCCGCGAGTGTTGCCGTGGGCAACGCCACCGCTTGAATCAGAAGCACGGGGTTGCCGTGGCGAGCGGGGGAGTTGCCACGGCGACCGGGGGAGTTGCCACGGCGACCGGGGGCCCGGTCCAGGCTCCGGCTGCGGAGAAACGGGGAGTGGGGGGGGGGCACCGGGGAACGGGGGCAGACTGAGTGACACAGGGAGGGGGGGGGGAGACACGGGGGCGGGGGGGGGAGACACGGGGGGGAGGGGGAAACGGGGGGGGGAGACACGGGGGGGGGGGGGAGACACGGGATGGGGGGGGGTGACATTGTTAGTCATTGTCATCATCACTGTTATCGTCACTGTCATCATCGTCACCACTCATCATCACCGACACGATCTGTGTTGTGGTTGTGCACGGCAGCTGCTGCTGTTGCTGTACATAGTTGTTGTATTTGGTTGTAGTTGTTGTTGTAGCACCAGTGATGTTTACTGTCAATGTTCTAAGTTGTAATCCAATGCTAAGATCCCCCTACCGTACTCATTTGAGGCTGAGGTTGTTGTGGTGGTTGTTGTGGTGGTTGTTCCTGTGGTTGTTGGGGTTGTGGTGGTGGTGGTTGTGATTGTGGTGGTTGTGGCCTCAAGTTGTACATAGGGGCTGTCCATAAATGACGTCACACACGTGGGGAGGGGTTTGATAAATGTGACGTCACGTCAAAATGCGCAACTTTAAATACATATAAACAATACAATACTTATAACAATCATTTTGATTAATTTTCATTATTTACTATTTGATAATTTAAATTTATAAAGTTACCTTTTATTTATTCCATGAAGGAGCATTTTGCTTCTCCATGGGAGAATGGAGAAGCATAATTTTTATTTATTTTTAATGATTATTATTGAACATTTTTATTTTAATGATTCTACCAGGGCTTTTCATTCTGTGAAATGAATAAACATTGTTATAATTGTACTCTCCTTTGTGCTTCGTTCTACTACAAAGTTTCAAGTATTTTTTTTCTAGTTATAATTACATTTTATATTTTATAATTATAAGAGAATTTCAATATAACATTCTGAACATCTGCAGTTTTAGACGTTGAATATTTTCAAGTAAATTTTATGCTAAATTTCAGCTTTCCAACGCCCCCTTTTTAATAAATGTTTTCTCCTACAACATCAGAGTGCAGCGCCACATTAAATACGCACTACAATGACAATAGTTTAAAGCGCTTTGACACATGTTTTATATATTTTAATAGAATTATGGTTTTGGGGAGGGGGGGGTCAAAAATCGGCCAAAATCTCGTGACGTCATTTATGGACGGCCCCATAGTCTGGCACAAGCGTCGTGGTGACGTCACCGCCACTTAGTGGCGAATGGCGGTTGTTGTGGTGGCTGTTGTGGTGGTTGTGGTTGTTGTGGTGGTTGTTGTGGTTGTGGTGGTGGTGGTTGTGGTGGTTGTGGTTGTTGTGGTGGTTGTGGTTGTTGTGGTGGTTGTTGTGGTGGTGGTTGTTGTGGTTGTTGTTGTGGTTGTGGTGGTGGTTGTTGTGGTTGTTGTTGTGGTGGTTGTGATTGTGGTGCTGGTTGTTGTTGTTGTGGTGGTTGTGGTTGTTGTGGTTGTTGTGGTTGTGGTGGTTGTTGTGGTGGTTGTTGTGGTGGTTGTGATTGTGGTGGTTGTGATTGTAAAGCTGTGGTGGTGGTTGTGATTGTGGTGGTGGTTGTGGTTGCTGTAGTTGTTGTGGTTGTAATTGTGGTGGTGGTTGTGATTGTGGTGGCAGCAGTTGTTGTTGTCTTGGTGGATGTTGTCGTAGTGGCTGTTGTTGTGGTAGTTGTTGTAGTTGGTGTGGTGGTTACTGTGGTTGTGGTGGTTGTTATTGTTGTGGTAGTTGTTGTCATGGTGGTTGTCATGGTGGTTGTTGTCATGGTTGTGGTAATTGCTGTCGTGGTTGTTGTCATGGTTGTTGTTGTGGTGGTTGTGGTGGTGGTTGCTGTAGTTGTTGTGGTGGGTGTGATTGTGGTGGTTGTGATTGTAAAGCTGTGGTGGTGGTTGTAATTGTGGTGGCGGCGGTTGATGTTGTCATGGTGGATGTAGTGGTGGTTGCTGTAGTTGTTGTGGTGGTTTCTGTGGTTGTGGTGGTTGTTGTGGTAGTTGTTGTCATGGTGGTTGTTGTGGTAGTTGTTGTCGTGGTGAATGTTGTTGTGGTGGTTGTTGTAGTGGATGTCGTAGTGGTTGTTGTGGTGGTTGTTGTCATGGTTGTTGTGGTGGTTGTCGTGGTAGTTGTTGTTGTGGTTGTTGTCATGGTTGTTGTGGTGGTTGTCGTGGTAGTTGTTGTCGTGGTTGTTGTGGTAGTTGTTGTCGTGGTAGTTGTTGTTGTAGTTGTTGTGGTAGTTGTTGTGGTAGTTGTTGTCATGGTTGTTGTCATGGTTGTGGTGGTTGTTGTGGTAGTTGTTGTGGTTGTTGTTGCTGCTGCTGCTGCTACCGGGCGAGGGAGCTCTGTGGCTCTTGCCCATGGAGGCGATGGTTGGGGTCAGGAGTCGCCCCAGCCCCTCCCGCACCCCGGCGCAGGCACTTCCCGCCAGCTCCCTGGACACCCGCATCGGGGTCCTCGCGGGCGCCTTTCTCGCAACCTCCCTGGACACCCGCGCAGAGTTTTCGTTCAGGCACTTCCCGGCGACCTCCCCGGACACCTGCGCGGGGTCCACGAAGGGGTCCTTCGAGGGGTCCTTCGAAAGCACCGGTGCCTGATTCTCTCCGGACACCTGCGTCGGGTCCTTCGAGAGGTCCACGGACGCCTGTGCCTGATTTTCTGTCAACGCTCCTGTTGAGTCGTTTGAGGATCCTTCGGAGGTTTCTTCATTTTTTACTTCATTTTTGACTTCGCTACCATCCGCGGACACCTGTGCCTGATTTTCTTCGCATGCCACCTCTGGGTCCTTCACCGAGGGGTCCTCGGCCGAGACCACGTTGGACACCTCTGCCTGATTGCTTTCGGACGCGCCATTTATTATTATTTTCTTCGAGGGACCTTTCTTTAAATTCTCCTTGGACGCCCGCGCCTGCTGCCGTGCGAGAACGCCGCTTGACGACGCCCGCTGTGGGTCCTTGCCAGGGTCCTTGCGAGACGGAAGGCGTCCGAGGGAGGCGCTCCTCTGAGTGCCTGATTTTAGGGAAAACAAAATATAGAAAATTAATCTTGATTTTAAGTATTCTTGGTTCTTTCGGTAAAGTCAGCAGACTCGGCCCACTTAGTCGATGACAGCAGAGCCACAGCCAATCAACGTCAATCAAACCCTGCCCCGCTGTTGTAAAAATATGGCAACTACTGTACTGTAGGGGTGATCACGTGGATTTTGGATTAACCGAAGCAACGTAAATGTTCGGTTTAGGCACCGCGTGTGTGACCTGTAAGTAAACATTTCCAAGAATAACACGACGTAATAACTGTTTTTTTATTAATTTGGGGTTCATATTCTTGGATCTTTCGGTAAAGTCACGTAGAAGGGAAATAACAAAATAATGAAAATAAAACATAATAAAATAAAATTCTCATGACGTTTCGGCCACAACGCAAGCAGCCGTCCTCAGGTGAAGAACAGAGCTGTCGGAAAGACAGCGCCCTAATGAACATCGCTGCCAAGCTCAGCAGTGTTCATCGGGACGCTGTCTTTCTGGTTAAGAACAGAGCTGTCAGAAAGACAGCGTCCCAATGAACACTGCTGAGCTTGGCAGCGATGTTCATTAGGGCGCTGTCTTTCCGACAGCTCTGTTCTTCACCTGAGGACGGCTGCTTGTGTTGTGGCCGAAACGTCGTGATAATTTTATTCTGTTTTATTTGTATTATTTCCCTTCTACGTGACTTTACTGAAAGATCCACGATTATTAATTCATGTCAAAGTCTCAGCTGCCGCGGTTAATCCGCAAATCGGATGAAGCCGCACGCGGATAATGGAGAGTCGACTGTGTAGCGCCATTCACACAAGGCCTTACACTGCGCTTTGCAACGCAACCCCATCTTCTTGGTTCTTTCGGTAAAGTCACGTAGAAGGGAAGTAATAAAATAATAAAATAATAAAACATAATATATTAAAAAAAAAATGTTACTTCCCTTCTACGTGACTTTACCGAAAGAACCAAGAAGATGAATCCCTGCAGTCACGAAAGCTTTAAATCGAAACAATCCCAGTCGCAATAAAACCCCTTAACGTTAAAACTAAGAGGAGGATAAAGCAACCCCCCTACAACAGACGGGGGGACGTGCGACAGAAAACAAACGTGGTTCTCGGACGAGCCCCCAAAAAGCTCCACTGGTACGGAGCGTCCCGAACGGACCGAGGCGGAGACGATTGACAGGGACGAGGCGGCCCCTGGCTACCGAACGCTTCGTCGCCCATTGAACGCGGAAG